AGAAATATGCAAGAGCCATATACACCTAACCAAAAGAAAATTCAATGACCTATGACCCTTAAATGACCCTCGGGACCCTTAAAACTACCAGTATGTGCCAGATCAAGTCCAAATTACCACACACACACACATTTGTAAACAGAACAACAGAAAACGTCACTCAAAATATTTCAGGGGTAACTTTATATCATTGTCCACATACATGGTTCAATAAATATATACGAAAACAATGCCATACCCATAAAAGAACTCCTGCAGGGCGGAAATAGTACTCAGAGCTTTCGCAGAAACCCACATAACATATCGTGGCTAATAGGCTGTTAAATATTTTCAACATTAAATAGAGCACGCAACAATGGATATAAATTGGATAAGTTTTAGATTTAGGATAATCTGGATAACTACTGGTTTAGAAATAGTTGTATATTGTTTGTCGAACAGATTACCGGGTAATATACTAGACGTTAGTTCACTTGATTGTTTCAAGCGTAGGTTAAACATTATCTATCCCTTATCTATCCTTATCTCAACTATGGTATTTGTGCTTGGGGTTCTACTACCCAAAATCACTTACGTCCTCTAATTACCCAGCACAAAGCCGCTATTAGAACAATATCCAACTCTGGCCCCAGACATCACTCGGTACCCCTACTCAAATCTCTTAATATGTTAGATATTAAGTCACTGCACATTCTCTCATGTGTATTATACATATTTAAAACGCTAAACTATAATGCCAATCCTGATCTTAAAAGCTTCATAGAAGGTTGTAACAGAACCCATGAGCACCACACCAGAAATAAATACAGTTTTGATATTCCTAGAGTACGTCTTAATCAAACTAGAAATGCTCTGCAAATCAAGGGGCCCAGAATGTGGAATGACCTTCCCAACCATGTTAAAGACTGTACCTCTCTCAACCAGTTTAAGATAAAAACTAAACACTACCTAATAAATTCCCTGTAATCTACCTCACTCCTCTATTGTCAACCCATGTCTGTTATTTTCTTTTTTTTTTTTCTTTTTTTTAATCAACACTGTTTGTCAACCTATTGTATTTGTGCTGCTTTTTCAGTCATGTTCCCCCTTTTTTTTTATCTTTATTTGTATTTGTTCTCAACATCTTTTATTCTTTATGCTCAATTAGTATTAAGTTCTAGATATTAATGTTTTTTCTTGCCCGAAACGCATTGCGTAATAGTGGCTTTAGGCATTGTATGTACTAGCTCTATCTATATATCAATCCTTTAATGTAACATCACTTGTATGTATATACCTTACCTGAATAAACATCTGAATCTGAATCTGAATCTGAATACGAATGAGTTCAGGTGGATATAAACAGAAGCCGCTTTGTAGGAGCCAAAATAGGCCTTGTGCCTTAATTCGTCTGTTCTTACGCTTTTTTGACGTGATCTTCAGGAATAAGAAAGATAATCAGGGTCTTCAGAAACACATGTTGCTCCTGCCATAACCTCTTAGACCACGAACCCCCCCACAAGACGGGCATGTCGGGAGGCAACACCTCAGCCAGTCAGCACCTGGAGCCCCGACCGGGATAAAATAATGACAAATTATCCAGTAATCCTTGGAGGGTCACCTTCGGCCACTAACACCAGTCCACTTAATACAAGTATGGTCTAACTTAGAAATGTAAGAATATAGTCTAACTTAAAAACAAAAATAAAAAAGGTCTAACTTAAATACAAATTTGGTGTAACTTAGAAAGATAAAAATTTGGTGTAACTTAGAACGAAAACGCAGATGACTCATTGAGTAAGAAAGACTACTTAAGTACACAAGAAACAACACATATGCCAAGAATGTAAAACATCTTGGCAGAGAAATCGGAGGCCAAACAACATGTTGATACTGGCATGAAGAATACAAGAGAGACAAAAACTTATCAGAACAACACAAACACTTCTTCTCACACACACACACAAGTGCAATTGGAAGAACCTCCACTTAACAAGGATATAAAATATATATATTTATACACACACACACACCCCGAGAAGTATACTGCGCCTCTCAGTGTATATACACTGAAAGTTTACTTTAGTCCTCAAACTTGTTTTCGTAACTAAATTATAGTTGGTGGTTGGTGAGTAAGCTGTTGTAGCGACCATAATAACTCTTCCTGCTGTTGATAACTCTCAGGGCCCGCAGCCTCAACCCAACACCCTTCTTAAAAGATAAAATATATACCGTGAAGATCATACCAAAACCAACGACAATTCTGACAGACCAATAAGAATATCCCTACACACCAATACGACGGACACAGTATAGGGAAAGACCCTCAGGACTTTTTGTCACCAACTCTTAACACACTGAGAGACGTGTGTCGGACATGGCAACAAACCCAACACTTCCAGATGGGAAAAAATGCAGTCTTTGTACTCAGCTCCGGGGCCAGAGTTCTGGCACTCGTTGCTTACAAGGAAATGAAACGTGCCATTAGCTGGGACACTCAGATTAATATGGTGACAAAGAGCGGAGATAACTGCCGTCCGCCAGACACAGAACTGTAACCATCGCTCCACTTGAGCAGGAAGCCAGGCCTTCATGCCTGGCCTCAGGCTGGGCTTGGGGAGTAGAAAACAGTTAATGCAACTAGGGGTTCCGTAGGCACGATTAGAGACCAGTGTCAACATCACAGGCCTACCAGGCCTACAAGCTTCTGCCTCAAAATATAAGATATATGGCAGGAACGAAGGTCGAAGTGTTCGAGAGGAAACTTGAGATGATCCCGCAGGAGTTAGCGGATCAGCCAGGTTGTGATGGCTAGGGTGTATCAGGGATCACTGGACGGGGCCGTGTGGTACCTCACTGCTGCTCCAAGATCCTCACCTCCGGTAGGACTACAACATTTTTATATGCACACACGCACATGTAGAGGTGAGTACACACGCACATATATATATAAACAACTGAAAATTCACACCTCAGAAGGGACTCGAACTCATACTGCCAGGAGCACTCTGCAACTGGTGTACAGGATCCCTTAACCACTCGACCATCACGACCGGACAAAAGATGATGGTAGCCGAGGCTAATTCCCCATCATCCCGCCGGCACTATGATGGTAATCTTGGGCATGGTATTTATCAAATCACCTCATTCTTTGGGGCCCACGGGAGGAACACAAATGCGAAGAAGCTTGAATGGTCCCCAGACATATGTGCAACTGAAAACACACCCCAGTTGCATATATGCCTGGGGTGTTCGTATGTTCGCCTCTGTAACATACGAACGAGGCGTCTAACTAGACTGTGGACCAGCATCAACAAACGAGGCAGTTGGTACCATGACCCAGGACATAATGAGTGGTCTTTGATTAGGCCTCAGCGAAATTAAAATCATATTTGCCTCCGCCAGGACCTGTCCTCTGTCAAATATATTTCGAATCGGTAGAATCGGCTTTTGAGAGTCATTGTTTGCGAGCACAAAAATTACATACACAATTATATTATATATATATATATATATATATATATATATATATATATATATATATATATATATATATATATATATATATTAAAGTATTACTACAAATATTTACAATGTGTCGCTTTCACTCAGGACACAATACATCAGCAGTGTTCATCAATTCCGGTGAATCCACTTTCTAGGTACATCTCGTCCACACCTAATGGTGTGGATGGCGACGAGTTCACCTTCTGCATGGCCCAGTCCACACACACCGTATCGTCACGATGTGTTAACACCCCACCTCCACTCTCTAGATACACACTGGCAGAGGGTTACAACCACACGCTGACAAGGATCTCAAACAATCACATACAGGGGTAGCTATCACCTTGGCAGAAGTCCCTAGCAGTTTGCTAGCAGCACTTCTCAACAGACGCACTAATGTCGTCACATAACTCTTCCTGACAAATCCCGACTACGTCGGCCCTTCCAATACTACATAAGCAGCAGCTCACACACTGCTATAACCGACGGCGGCCACTTCGTCCTCTCACAGGACCAAGTCGAGAAATCTTGGACTGCCCGAGGTGAACTGCCTTCCTCGGGGCAACTGCCTCCTTACGTCACCTCTGTGAACATAAAACGTCATTAGCCAGACAGACAGTACACTGGGTGACCTTAGGATAACACCCTTCAACCAGGGAATTGACATTGTATATTGTGACCACAACCTAGATGGCATTGATCTCGATACGCCACCCACCAGAGGTCATCATCATCGACCTCCTCTTCTAACTGGGGCAGGAAACCGGAGCCTTTCATCAATACCACGTCACCACCAACAGATGGCGTTGTCTGCGTAGCACCCAATACCTGGGAGTTGGAGTGCAGATCCATAGATGGCGCTGACATCGCCACTCCGTACTCCAGTGACGGTGTCGATACTGTAACACGCTTTAATTTTTTACTTGTTCCTATTTTCTTACTTATTTTTTATTTGTCATTCCTAATTTTTGTTTAACTTATCTCTGACTTCTTATTCCTATTTTCTTCTTATTTTGACTTCTTATTACTGATTGTTTATTATTTTGTCTACTTTTATTTGTTTTTGTTTTGTTTAACACTTCAAGGACCTTCTGTTGGCAAATATTGATAAAACAAAACAAAGCTGTGTTTGTCATTGACAAGAATGGTGCAGGTGAAGGAATACAGAGTTGGAGGGCCGGCCACCGTGAGCACCATGGAGGCTGTACCACCATGACCTGTAACAGTCAGGCTCCTGTATTCTCAGCACTGTATTGTGGGGTTACAGTGGTGGATATAATACTCTGTCTTAATCCTTCTCATAATTTTGGCGTCGTCAGCAAACATTGAGAGGAATGGTGTGTGTGTGTGTGTGTGTGTGTGTGTGTGTGTGTGTGTGTGTGTGTGTGTGTGTGTGTGTGTGTGTGTGTGTGTGAGCGTGTCGGAGCAGCATAGTCCAGCGGGTATTTAAATGACTACATTTTTCAGTACTTACTCTGCCGAGTAAATCCCAAATGTGAACCTTTTCCTTGCCTGCAGGGTGTAGCGCGGCGCCGGCCCCGGCCACCAGTCTCTCTCGGGTCAGTAAACTTGGGCCAAAACTGTGAGAATTTTATATGTGTATATAAACCATTACAGTTGATTAGTTCTCCTATTTTTTCAAAACCGGAATGTATTTAAGTTATATATATCTGGGATTATTTTTCAGAATCCGAATTTTATTTTTTTAGTTTATTTATATTTTTATCACAGACGTGGCCACACATTTACAATGGTAACTAACATATATACATTTTAACGTGTCCTCCATGGACAGTGTTAGAGATGTGTTGGGCATCATGTGTCCTCCATGGACAGTGTTAGAGATGTGTTGGGCATCATGTGTCCTTCATGGACAGTGTTAGAGATGTGTTGGGCATCATGTGTCCTCCATGGACAGTGTTAGAGATGTGTTGGGCATCATGTGTCCTCCATGGACAGTGTTAGAGATGTGTTGGGCATCATGTGTCCTCCATGGACAGTGTTAGAGATGTGTTGGGCATCATGTGTCCTCCATGGACAGTGTTAGAGATGTGTTGGGCATCATGTGTCCTCCATGGACAGTGGTAGAGATGTGTTGGGCATCATGTGTCCTTCATGGACAGTGTTAGAGATGTGTTGGGCATCATGTGTCCTCCATGGACAGTGTTAGAGATGTGTTGGGCATCATGTGTCCTCCATGGACAGTGTTAGAGATGTGTTGGGCATCATGTGTCCTCCATGGACAGTGTTAGAGATGTGTTGGGCATCATGTGTCCTTCATGGACAGTGTTAGAGATGTGTTGGGCAGCATGTGTCCTTCATGGACAGTGTTAGAGATGTGTTGGGCATCATGTGTCCTCCATGGACAGTGTTAGAGATGTGTTGGGCATCATGTGTCCTCCATGGACAGTGTTAGAGATGTGTTGGGCATCATGTGTCCTTCATGGACAGTGTTAGAGATGTGTTGGGCATCATGTGTCCTCCATGGACAGTGTTAGAGATGTGTTGGGCATCATGTGTCCTCCATGGACAGTGTTAGAGATGTGTTGGGCATCATGTGTCCTCCATGGACAGTGTTAGAGATGTGTTGGGCATCATGTGTCCTTCATGGACAGTGTTAGAGATGTGTTGTGTGTGTTCAATAACTCATTTCATCATGTCGTGTTGTGTGTTATTGAGCACTCAACGACAGGTGACTGTGGTGCTCTAACAAGGCACAGCATAACTGTTCGTCTGTACTACACAGACAGGGATATAGAGCTGAGACAGTTCATATAATGACTTATTAAACATTTGGGTTGCATATCCGGGATTGTATTGTTGGCAGCGAAGTGACTCAGAGGCCCATTAACGTGACTTGTAGTACACATTAATGACACAGATGACACAATAACAGCCACATCCTCAACTTTGCGGGTGTTACAAAGAATTTGGTGGCACAGTGGTAACACATTCGACCCGTGCTTCATGAGCGATTTGGCGTAGGCTCGTATGTAGGCCGGGAAGGATTGACTAGGTGCGCCACTGTTCACCCAGCAGTGATTGGTTACCTGGTGGGTAAATGACTGACGGATCGTATTCCAGGGACACTAGTGACACCAGGAGCTGAGGGACGGAAGGCTTTCAGCCTGCTGAAAAGTGGGATATTAAGTAATATTTTCACAAGAAGGTCACATTAAGACACTGAGGCCTTGTTAAGATGTAACCAGGAACACCACAAATGGTCACAAGACTGGCAAGTGCTTCTCCATATTACAGCACGCAAGTTGCGTGCTGTACACGCAACTTAACTACCATATCAACACCACTGTCACCGTCATGTTAGTGTGACCTGTGTGTGTAGTGTACTGTCACTATCACCCCCCCTCTTCCACACCCCCTTCCATCCCACACCCCCTTCCATCACCCCCCTCCCCTTCCACACCCCCTTCCCACCCCCCCTTCCATCACCCCCCCCCCCTCCCCCCGGCGCAGAACTGTCCTTATCAGTCTCAGCCTCAACTCACATTTCCATATTAATAACAAAGTGCCGTGCCACAAGGAGACTGGCCCAGGCCCTTAATTTGGCTTCCTCCCTCAAGCCATTTTGACCAGAGGAATTTAGCTGCTGAGAAAATCCTTCAGAGCTCCAGAAATTTATTTTCGTTTGTATGAGGGAAAAAGGTGTTTGATCAAGACAACTATTATTACGTGGTTGCTGTGTTGTAGCAATATAATGTGGTTAAACAGAGGTTGAAGTTACCTCGTGTGTGTTGAGTACCGGAAGCCTTGGTGGCTGGGGGGTGGGTGGGGGCAGCACCCGGGACTTGCAGGAGAATGCTCAAGGTGCTCCGTAAGAAAGAATAGAATAAGTGAAGGAAGTAAGAATATTTCTCTAGCAAGAATAAGTGAGCCAGACAAGCAGCATTAATGAAATAGAGCGGAAGGTGGAGCACGCATCAGAGACAAGGAGGGCACATGGAGCAGAGACACACACACGAGATACGAACAAAACCCGAATACTTTTTTCATATA